TGAGGGGGTCAACGCATGAGGGGCCAGCCAAGGCCCCAGCATGAGGAGTTCAGGGCATGAGTGGCCGAAGCCCCGGCATGAGGGGTCAACGCATGAAGGGCCGATGCCCTAGCATGAGGGGGTCAACGCATGAAGGGCCAGCCAAGGCCCCAGCATGAGGGGGTCAGCGCATGAGTGACCGAAGCCCCGGCATGAGGGATCAAAAAATGAATGGCCAATGCCCCAGCATGAGGGGGTCAACGCATGAGGGGCCAGCCAGGGCCCCAGCATTAGTGGGTCAGCGCATGAGGGGCCGAAGCCCCGGCAGGAGGTGTTAACGCATGAAGGGCCAATGCCCCAGCATGTTGGGGGTCAACGCATGAGGGGCCAGCCAAGGCCCCAGCATGAGGGGCCAGGGCATGAGGGGTCGAAGCCCGGGCATGAGGGGGTCACCGCATGAAGGGCCAATCCCCCAGCATGAGGGGGTGAACGCATGAGGGGCCAGCCAAGGCCCCAGCATGAGCGGGTCAGCGCATGAGGGGCCGAAGCCCCGGCATGACGGGGGTCAACGCCTGAGGGGCCAGCCAAGGCCCCAGCATGAGAGGTCAGGGCATGAGTGGCCGAAGCCCTGGCATGAGGGGTCAACGCATGAAGGGGCAATGCCCCAGCATGAGGGGGTCACCGCATGAGGGGCCAGCCAAGGCCCCAGCATGAGGGGCCAGGGCATGAGGGGCCGAAGCCCCGGCATGAGGGGTCAACGCATGAAGGATGAAGGGCCAGTGCCTCAGCATGAGGGGGTCAACGCATGAAGGGCCAGCCAAGGCCCCAGCATGAGGGGTCAGGGCATGAGGGGCCGAAGCCCTGGCATGAGGGGTCAACGCATGAGGGGCCAGCCAAGGCCCCAGCATGAGGAGGTCAACGCATGAGGGGCCAGCCAAGGCCCCAGCATGAGGGGTCAGGGCATGAGGGGCCGAAGCCCCGACGCATGAGGGCGGCATGATGGGTCAACGCATGAAGGGGCACTGCCCCAGCATGCTGGAGTCAATTCATGAGGGGCTAACCAAGGCCCCAGCATGAGGGGTCGACGCGTGAGGGACCAAGGCCCCAGCAAGGAGGGTCGACGCATGAAGGGCCAATGTCCCAGCATGACGGTGTCAACGCATGAGGGGCTAACCAAGGCCCCAGCATGAGGGGCTAGGGCATGCGGGGTCTAAGCCCTGGCTTGAGGGGTCAACGCATGAAGGGCCAATCCCCCAGCATGAGGGGGTCACCGCATGAGGGGCCAGCCAAGGCCCCAGCATTAGTGGGTCAGCGCATGAGGGGCCGAAGCCCCGGCAGGAGGTGTCAACGCATGAGGACCCAGCATGCGGGGGTCAACGCATGAGGGGCCAGCCAAGGCTCCAGCATGAGGGGTCAGGGCATGAGTGGCCGAAGCCCTGGCATGCGGGGTCAAAAAATGAGCGGCCAATGCCCCAGCATGAGGGGGTCACCGCATGAGGGGCCAGCCAAGGCTCCAGCATGAGGGGCCAGGGCATGAGGGCCGAAGCCCCGACGCATGAAGGGGCACTGCCCCAGCATGTTGGAGTCAATTCATGAAGGGATCAGCCAAGGCCCCAGCATGAGGGGTCGACGCGTGAGGGACCAAGGCCCCAGCATGGTGTGTCGACGCATGAAGGGGCAATGCCCCAGCGTGAGGGGTAAGAGCATGAGGGAACGAAGCCCCGGCATGAGGGGTCAACGCATGAACACAATGCCTGGTCTTGGCAAGACTATCTTATTCAACAATGCAAGACTGGGGAAGGCCCACCCCAATACAGCCGTATCAGGGCGCTGCCCTGTGGAGGTAATACACCTCGTGCGAATGCCACATAATAACCTGATTCATAGGCAGGGGAGGAGCCGGGAAACGATGTCCAGCCTCCTGATATGTCGAGTAAGCAACTGCTCGCTCGACATGGCGATTTTCAAGCGGGGTTGGGAGGACCCCTATTTGAAACCGGATTGCCTGTGTCGCCCCGGTGGCGTAACTCCAGAGTGTTCGGGTGAGGTGCTCTTCGGAGATCGATGGTCTCCTTACAGGCGCCCCGTGCGTCCTCACCCGACTACCCAACAGGGGCCCTGCGCACCATTGGCACGGGGAGGAGGAGGAGGAGGAGGAGGAGGAGGAGGAGGAGGAGAGGAGGAGGAGGAGAGGAGGAGGAGGAGGAGAGAGGAGAGGAGGAGGAGGAGAGGAGGAGGAGAGGAGGGAGGAGGAGGAGGAGGAGGAGGAGAGGAGAGGAGGAGGAGGAGGAGGAGGAGGAGGAAGAGGGGGCCTGGGGGGCGAGCGCATGGACCCTCAAACGCCCAGGCCTCCCGGGCGGGGTCGGTTCAGGGGAGGGAGCAACACACCCCGACCCCCTCTATAACTGGCGTTTGCTCAGCGGCCCTGGGCGTTTGTTCAAGGGCTCTGCCCTGTTCGATTCCTCTCTTGAGTGCGTTTGCTAGACGGCTACGCTCGTCGGGGTGCTTATTCAGAGGGTGGCTGTTCTGCTCTCTATCGAAGTATATATATTTGTATATATATATATGGTTGGAGGATCGCGCCGCATGGCCGATGCAGCGGCGATGCGGCTCGATGTGGAGTTTGATTTTCTCCACGCCCATGTCCGTCGCCGATGCAACGCCGATGCAACGGCGACGTCGCCAGTGCATCGACGATGCGGCGCGATCCTCCGATCCCATCTGCTCGGACCCCATTTGGGAGGAGGAGGAGGAGGAGGAGGAGGAGGAGGGAAGGAGGAGGAGGAGGAGGAAGGAGGAGGAGGAGGATGAGGAGGAGGAGGAGGAAGGAGGAGGGAGGAGGAGGATGAGGAGGGGGAGGAGGGGGAGAGGGGGAGGAGAGGAGGGGGAGGAGGGGGGAGGGTGGAGGGGGGGAGTGGTAGGGAGGAATGAGGAGGAGGAGGAGGAGGAGGAGGAGGAGGAGAAGGAGGAGGAGGAGGAGGAGGAGGAGGAGGAGGAGGAGGGGGAGGAGGAGGAGGGGAGGAGGAAGGAGGAGGAAGGAGGAGAGGAAGGAGAGCGGAGGATGAGGAGGAGGAGGAGGAGGGAGGAATGGAGGAGGGGAGGGGGAGGAAGGGGGAGGGGGGAGGGGGCGGGGGGAGGGGGGAGGGGGGAGGGGGAGGGGGGAGGGGGAGGAGGAGGAGGAGGGGGAGAGGAGGAGGAGGAGGAGGAGGAGGAGGAGGATGAGAGGAGGAGAGGAGGAGGAGGGGAGGAGGAGGAGGAGGAGGAGGGAGGAGGAGGAGGAGGAGGAGGAGGAGAGGAGGAGGAGGAGGAGGAGGAGAGGAGGAGGAAGGAGGAGGTGCTGATGACGATGATGATGATGATATGATGATGAGATGATGATGATGATGATGGATGTGATGATGATGATGATGATATGAATTATGCTGAGGATGAATGATGATGATGATGATGATGAATGCTGATGATGATGATGCTGATGATGATGATTCCTGATGATGATGATGATGTGATGATGATGCTGCTGCTGCTGCTTGCTGATGATGATGATGATGATGATTGATGATGATTATGATGATGATAGAGGAGGAGGAGGAGAGGAGGAGGCGGAGGGAGGAGGAAGGAGGAAGAGGAGGAAAGAGGAGGAGGAGAAGGAGAAGGAGAGGTCAGGAGGAGGAGAGGAGGGGGAAGGAAAGAGGAGGAGGCGGAGGAGGAAAGGAGGAGGAGGAGGAGGAGGAGGAGGAGGAGGAGGAGGAGGAGGAGGGAGGAGGAGGAGGCCTCTAAGACGCCCCTTCCTCGCCGATCGGGGCCTCACAGCCCCCAGTGCCGCTCAGAAGCGCGCGCGGCTTCGCCATTGACAGCCTATCGCCGACGTCGGCGATGTATCGCCGATTTCAGGTCGATGCTTCAGGAGGGGGAAAAACGCACAGACACAATTCATCGTCGATTCCCCAGGAAATATGGGAAAGCATGGGAAGTGCGGGGGAAGACGAAGACCCAGACATTTTGGGAAAATAGGGGGAAGCCGGTTATTTGTGTCTATTTGTTTGTGTGTCCCAGGGCCCCTTCAATGTTCCCCACCCCCCTGAGCCAGTCCTCTCCTGATTATCGCTCCCCCTCAGGACCTGGCTGGCGCTGGGGACACGCATGACCTCATCGCATGGAGCCGCATGCTGAGGCCCGGCGAGGTGTCGCCAGACGCGTCCCTCGCTGCCTTCTTCGAGGACTGAGCAGCCCTGAGGGGCCTCCTTCTGCTTTCCCCTTCTGTTTTTTTTCAGCTGCTGTGGGACTGAGCGCGGCTGTCTGGTCGCGGCGCGGACGTCGCATGCTGGCCAGGCCTTGCACTGTAAGCTGAACCCTCCTCCTAGTCGTCTTCCTTTCTCCTCCTCTCCCTCTTCTGCTCCTCCTCCTCGCCTCGTCCTCTTCCTTTTCATCCTCCTCCACTTCCTCGCCCTCTCCTCCACATCCTCCTCCTTTCCTCCTCTCGCACCCCGAGTCGCACCCCGAGGCCGGTCGGAAGGGCGAGCCGGGCGTTTCGCTTGAGATTTCTTTACCATATGAGAGCCTGAAGCTTAGAAACTGGCAACAGTTTAACAGATGGAGGGCGGGAGGCTTTCAAAATGTGGCTCTCGCTTTCGCGCAGCGCACATTCGTTTCAAAACATTGCAAGAAATTCGCGGATTGAGGGCGGATCGTTTTCAAAGTTGGGCTGTCGCCTTAGCGCCGCGCGCATTCACTGTAAATCATTGCACTCGTTTCACGGATTGGGGGCGGGTGGTTTTCAAACTGTGGTTCTCGCTTTAGCGCAGCGCACATTCGATTTACCCATTTGCAAGAGGTTCACGGATTGAGGGCCGTTGGTTTTCAACATGTGGTTCTCGCTTTAGCGCCGCGCACATTTGCTTGAACAGGTAAGAGTTTCACGGGTTGGAGGCGTTCCTTTTTAACATGTGGTTCTCGCTGTAGTGCCGCGCACATTCGTTAAACAAGTGTACGAGTTTCGCGGATTCTCAGAGTTAACACTCCAGAAATGGTGTTTTCGAAGGATTAATGAGTGTCAGGGCACAACAGTTACGTTGATTCGCCGGGCACAGTTACGTTGATTCGCCGTGTTGAAGTCCCAGGAATGGTGTTCTGGCACGTTTCAGGACCTTTAAGACGACACAGTCAGGTTTGCTCTTGGCGTTGACGTCCTGAGAATAGTGTTTGGCAGCTTCAGGATTTTCACACGGTTGTCTCCCAATGGGCATTTCCCCCCAGTGGAAGTAAATTTCTTGTATGGGGCCCATGAGAAGGGAGCTTGGAGGGAGGGTGTATTCCAACATCTGTTGTGAGTTTTGGGTTTGCACTGGTCTTCCTCCTCCTCCTTCTCCTGCTCCTCGCGCCGTGGTCAGCCCCCCTCTTCCTCCTACTCCCCGCAATCGCTCCTCTTGCTTTAGGGATGTGAGTGGGGCGGCAGATGGTGCATGATGAGCTCTGCGATCAGGATTATGTAATGCGAAAGCACAAAGGGCAGCCGTGTGCATTGGATGTGTTGGAGGAGGGGGATGCTGCTGATGATGATGCTGATGATGATGATGATGATGATGATGCTGATGATGGTAGTGGTGGTGGTGATGATGATGCTGATGCTGGTGATGGTGACGATGTTGATGCTGATGCTGACGATGGCGATTCTGATGATGATGATGATGATGATGATGATGATCATGATGATGATGCTGATGATGATGATGATGATGATGATGAGGGTGATGAGGTGATGAGGGTGATGATGATGTTGATGCTGGTGATGATACTGTTGATGAATATGATGCTGATGATGCTGATGCTGATGCTGATGATGTCGATGTTGATGCTGTTGATGATGATGCTGCTGATGACGATGATGCTAATGATGACGATGATGACGATGATGACACAAATGCTGCTGATGATGCTGATGCTGATTATGCTGCTGATGATGAGTATGCTGATGCTGATTCTGATGACGACGACGACGACGACGACGACGATGATGATGATGATGATGATGATGATGATGCTGATGATGATGCTGATGCTGATGATGATGATGATGATGCTGCTGATGCTGATGCTGATGCTGATGCTGATGATGATGATGATGATGATGATGATGATGATGATGATGATGATGATGATGAAGAGGAGGAGGAGGATGAGGACGATGATGATGAGGAGGAGGCGGAGGATGAGCAGGAGGACGAGGAGGAGGAGGAGCAGGAGGAGGAGGAGAAGGAGCAGGAGGAGGAGGATGAGGATGAGGACGTGGATGATGATGCTGCTGCTGATGCTGCTGCTGATGATGCTGATGATGATGCTGATGCTGATGATGATGACGATGCTGATGATGATGATGAGGAGGAGGAAGATGTGGAAGGGACGATGGGGAAGGGAGTGGGATGATGATGATGATGATGATGATGATGATGATGATGATGATGATGATGATGATGATGATGATGATGATGGTGGTGGTGGTGGTGGTGGTGGTGGTAGTGGTGGTGGTGGTGATGATGATGATGATGATGCGTTGAGGAGGAGGACGACGAGGAGGAGCAGGAGGAGGAGGAGGAGGAGGAGGAAGAGGAACAGGAGCAGCAGGAGGAGTGGGAGGAGGAGGAGCAGGAGGAGGAGGAGGAGCAGGAGGAGCAGGAGGAGTGGGAGGAGGAGGAGGAGGAGCAGCAGCAGCAGCATCAGGAGCAGGAGCAGGAGAAGATGGAGGAGCCAGAGGACCACGGGAAGGCGGAGGAGGGGAAAAGGCGGAGGCGACAACGACGAGGAAGGACCCAGATCCAGAGATGTGGCTCACGCTGGGGCTAGAGCGCCATTCTTAACGACGGGAGTAAAGCGCCGATTTTGACGTGAGGCCAAGGCTGCAGCGGAACACGATTGGCAACAAACTACGGACGCTCCAGTCAAATCACAGCACACACGAATCTATATGTAGTACACATATCAGTATACGTACATCTGGACGCATGTCTAGTTATATGGGACACATGTAACTTTGTATGTGCGGTCTCTATATATATATATATGTATGCATGTCTGTGTATCTCTGTATGTGTATACACAGATGTTCCCCAATCAGAGGTTGCCTCTGTAGGGGTCCTAGCGGATTCATATGGTTAGGTGAGGTGTGTCATCGATTTCCGCGGCCTGCCTAGGTGCCCAGGTGCCCAGGTGCGTTATAGCCCTATAGCCCTATAGCCTCATAGCCCTATAGCCCCACAGCCCAATAGCCCTATAGCCCTATAGCCCAATAGGCCTATAGCCCTACAGCCTTATATCCTTATAGCCTTATAGCCCTAGAGCCCTATGGCTTCAGAGCCCTACAGCCCATTTGCCCTATAGCCCCATAGCCCTATGGCCCTATACACCTATAGCCCAATATCCCAATAGCCCTATAGCCCCATAACCCTCTATCCCTATAGCCCTATCGCCCCATAGACTCATAGCCCTAAAGTCCCATAGCCCTATATATATTCATAGCCTTATGGCCCTACAGCCCCATAGCCCCATAGCCCCATAGCCCCCATGGCCTTATATCTCTACAGCCCTATAGCCCTATAGCCCTAAGCCCTATAGCCCTATAGCCCTATAGCCCTGTGCCCTATGGCCCTATAGCCCTATAGCCCTATAGTCCCATAGCCCTATAGCC